GCAGGAATGGAATAACAATTCCAATGAAAAGCAGAGGAGAAATTTCAGGAGTTTAGAGACACTTTTAGCTTCTTATTTATCTCTCCCTTCTTTCAGAGCACTTATCTGTTACTGCAGAAGGTATGCAGACAAATGATGTACTTCACTATATAGTGACACTGACACATGGAACCAGTTTACATATATTAAGATAGCTTCCTCTGTCATTTGCTTTCAGACAATCACTTCAGGTTCCTCACATATAAAAACCAGAGTAATCTGATACACTAAATGAAGAGATCTTGGTATTATCTTTCGGGAGGTCGATCTTTGAGGAAAGTTGCTCCTGAAAAAGCCTATTAGTCTTTTACTTTCCTAAGAGGTACCATGTGATTTTTGCTACTTTTGCCATTCCAGATGGGCAGTTGTCCAAAGTTAAGGATATACATTGCAGATAGAGACCTGCTTCCACCGTTCCTTATACAGGACTTAAATTTATCTTTACAGACTAGCAAAACTGAAATACCAAGAAAAAGTATTTTTGCTCGAGATGTACGCCATTTCCTCAAACAATCTAAGTCCAAGTATTTGGACTGTGTCTGGCAGCTGAATACATAACATTACACTTATTCTGTAAAGGTTAATTTTTACTAAAAATACTGTGTACTTATTTCAAGATGACAAGAGATTACAGAAATTTTGTCTATGTTACAACAGACTTTCTCTTTCTGTACCTATGAATTTTAATCATCTAACGGTTGCAGCATCCCACTTTGACCGTAAGTATCAAGTGTCAATCTGGGTGGTCTAAACATAATTCAATGTAAAATTTGCTATTTTGGAAATGGGTTGCAAGGGTTACAAAACAACAGCTTTCACTGGTCTTTTGGGACCGTTGACTAGCAGCTTAACACATTCTGTATTACAAACAACACCTTGATCAACGCGACCTACTGCAAGGCTTCTTTGCAACAATAAAATAGATGGGTATCTAGAAGTTCAAGACTTTTCTCCTATTTCTTACTCCTCTTAACGATACACAACAACACATTATCTGCCATCAGACACTTTTCTATTAACATGGAACACAAGAAAGATTTTTTAAAAAATCAGTAAAACAGCCTCTTGTTTGAATATATGTAGCCTCACCTTGCGGATGCCTCTGCCAAGATCTTCTCCATAATTTGTCCCCAAAATTTCAAAATGCACATTGGGATTCCCCCCATTTTCTGCAAATTCCAGTTCTCCGGTCAAGCCATTCACTCCACCCTATTGGAAAAAAAGGAGAATGGAGTGAAAACTCCGAAGTAGCCAATTATAATAGCCTTTTGTTTCTCCAAGGGATTTGTGCACTAACTACGCAAAATACATACACAACTACCAGAATTAGGACAGTTTTCCAAAGACCACATTTCCCTAAAAATTCTGAAGCCTAAATTGTTCCTACATCATTTAAGCTCTTCACAGAAGAATCAAACTCAGCAATACTAAGCAGATGCAATACAAGCAAAAGCCTTACTCTTGGTGTATTTGCATTCCAGTTTTTGTTCTTTGACCCATCAGCGTATTCTATAGAATAGACATTCTAGCCTCAATTAAAAAAAAAAAAAAAGTTTTGTGACTAATTGTAGTGGAAGCAAAACTAAAGACAAATATATAAAAGAAATTGCACAAAAATTAGTTTTGTTTGTTTATTTTTGCTTTTTCCCCCCAAATGTTTCTCACCCAGAAGAGATTTCCACATAAGATCAGGTTGAGTTTTGGATCAAGTTAAGTGCTTTTTGGGCCCAACATAAGTGACCTGCACAAATGAAGAGGGGCTTGTCTAGCTGAATATCGTGATTTTTCTGTTTTCTTCCACAACTCTTCTCTACTACTAAGAATGCATAACATGAGCAACAATGCAGCATATTTTCAAGCTTGCTTTTACTTTTTTACATTTCAGTCAGAAGGGGTTAAAATACTAAAAATGAAACAGTGACTATTTACTATAAAGAATCAGAGTTGAAAGGACTATACATGCCACAGCAATATCCAAAATATATTCCAGGGTTAATTCAACATGACACATATTTCATCTTTGTATAAGAACTGTGATGACCTGAACTGTAAAATCAACAGAGCCACGTGAAACGCCTACAATGAAAACCTTTAGCCTTGAAAAATTTCTTCAGTTTTCAGTTTCAGGGAAAATGAGATATTTAACTCACTTCCTCCAAAAAACTTGAATATTTTAAGTATGCACAAGACATCTGCCTCTAGTGTCAAACCATATGAAATGCATAGCTTTTCTCCAAAACATAAGGCAAGAGTTTTGCAGTTGTGATTGCTTTTTCAGTTAAGAAAACTGAAAAAAATGGAAAATAAATTCTTGCAATACAAACTACCTAGCTAAGCACATAAGCCTTGCTGAATTATGATTTTAAAAGCTCTACTCTCACATCTTCAATTTGGAGAAAATCCGGGAAGGAGTACAAAATTTGCATCTCCATTGCAGAGTAGTATGAACTAACAAAATTTGGTCATCCTTTTATAAAACATTAATACGATTATAATAAAAATAAGGAAGCTGATCATTGAGATAATAACTTTAAAACTTACTAGAGACTACTAGAGACTAGTATTTTCAAGGAATAATACGTAAATGTTTAATGAAATTCCATTTTCAGCTAAAAACAAGATAATACTTTGTGTATATGTATTTTTTTAATCTTTTCTAGAATATTTACTTTTTGGATGAGATACTAGAATAAAAATTAAAAAAAAAAAAAAAAAGGAAAAAACAACATTCTGGTTAAGGGTACATCTGAATAGTCTTTTGCAGGAAGACTCCAGGTCATTTCGCCCTCAGTGAGAGCCAACCAGGCAATTTTGAAGCATGTTGCTATGGTTAGCATGACACTGAGGTTAGTTATTAGCTTGAGCACAATCCTGTAATAATCACACCTTCATGGCTTTTAGATTGGGGTTAGCACACCTCTGGCTGGTTTAAGAGTAAAGACAGAGCGAGCTTGTGTTTACCTGCAAAATCATTTGAACGTATCCTTAGGTAAATAACTGAGTTTCACAAATATAAACCTTTCCTGCTAACTTAAATTTGACTACATCCTATTCACGAACCAGAAATAAAAATCTGTTCCACGTACCTTTTTTCTCACATGGTCTCATCTGGCTTTTTGATGAATTAAGCCAGAATTTCACGGTACATGTGATGTAGAAATGCCTGCAAAGCAGCACAGATCTGCAAGGCTTGGGATCCCCATGTGACCCCCGACAGCCTCCATCTGGCTGACTCGCCCTCCCTGACAGTATACACCTCTTCCTAGTCCTGCACCACTCTGATCCCTTACCATATACTGCTTTTATTATATTATACTTCATATTTCCTATATTACTTCCTAAAACTTTTTCCCACAATGTGAATTAAACCTGTGGGTCTGAGATAAGTAAAGAATGAAAATTAATTAAACTGTTATAGACCACCTGAGCTGCACCATGACTTCAAGTGAGCCACAAGCAAAGTCTGGAAAAAGAAAGGGAAAACTCTGGAAAAAAATGATAAAAGAAAGGAAATATTCAACAGCAACAAAAAAAATCTGTTAACACAGATGCTTTGTACAGCAGAAGGTCTTTTCCTTTTTTCTTATTTTGTGACAAAATGGTTTTAAATTGGGAACTTTCAATATAGAAAATCAAAGCGACTTTATTTTCCAAATTAAGAGTGTCCCAAAAAATTCTGGGACATGAAGATGGAATCATGACTAAAATAGAAATGATTTTTTGATATTTGAGACAGCAATTTAAAATTTTAGTAATTTTTTTTTTAACCTTTGTCCTTATTTGAGCAAATATGATAAAAAATAAGACCATTTAAAGAAGTATTTCACCTCAATTACATTTGAAGTAATGAAATCCTCTTTTTAAGAAAATATAGGATTCCATGGAAATACACGGCCCCAAACATATAGTACAGGTTAACAGATTTACCTACCATATTTTGGAACTGAATGTCTATCCGAAACCATTGTGTAAGTTTATTTACCTTGATTTTTAAATGGCTGCAACTGTTGGGGCAAGATACAAACTGTAAGCCTGTTAGTTATTTTTATTTGTCTGAAATCCAGCGGTAACCATAACAACAATTTTTCTCATTCATACATTCTGGCGATTTTATCATGCTTTGAAAATCTCTCATGTAAGAGTGTCTTCGATTAGAGCTTTCTTTCCTAGACTGTGTACATCTGCAAACAGTGTAATTAAGAGCTCAGATTAGATGGGAATGCTCCTGGCTTGGGAAGGGCAGAGGCAGAAAGACAAAACAGTGAAGAACCACCCATATAATACCAACAACAATACTAAATCTGATAGGAAACTTCTTGGAGATCCTGATGCCTCCTCCCTATCCGGGACCTACCTTGCTGGACCTGCAGGCCAGGCAATCCTGTTATTGCTGTCTGCTAGTCCTCAATGTCCCACACAGCCTTTTTTACAAGGATTACATGAGCCTGTTTTATTGTTTAGGGCTGATGGAGTGGGACAGCATATTGCCTAGGAAGAGTTTCAGGACACTGCTCCAATTTTTCTGCATAGTCTTTCACCGTGTGGATCCTTCTAAAACACTTACTTGATTTATGGCATGTGTTTTATCCCTGCACTAATGCATAGTGGAAGGAGATCACAGAGAAAATGGCCATCTGTATGACAGCCACAGATCCAGTAATTTCCTGATGAGATTTTTCCAAGTTATTTTAGCATTAATTATGATAATGGGTAAGAGTCAAAGAAATTTTTCATTCCATTTAAATTACAGAAACAATGCTATTTTTTATCAGATTTATTATCTATTCTCTCAAATTCCTCTAAGGTTGAGCCGCAACCATGCAATTTCCTGACACATTTAAAACTGAAGAGTGAAATGTCAGTTGTTAGGACAAAAATGTTTTACTTACATTTCTGATCACTGTTCTGGGCTTTGCAGAGCTGTTATAAAGCGTGGCAATATAGTTAAAGCCTACCTGAGTCCTGTCCAGACTGGCAAAATAAACTACAGTTTATATATGCTTAGGCACTACTATACCATAAGTCCCTGAAGAAAGCACTATTTACCCAGCAGTCAGAACCTCACTTGCGAATGTCAGCTTGCCAATCATCAGTTATAAAATATTGTACTTGCTCTCACGATTCCTGTTCAAACTTCCTTTTTTTCAAAATACGGTTATGCTCAGACATTATTTTGCAATTAAGGAAAAAACTGTGGTAACAGGCAGAAAAAAAATCTATAAGCATTAAATATGAGTTTCACATTTTATTCTTGAAAAAATCTGATATTGAAAACATTGTTGAGTTTTCAATTCAACACACCATTTTTAGCTGCTAGAGAAGAGAGCCTAATCTAGTGCCTGAAAAACAATTTGGCATCTTTTTCGCACGTCACCACTGAACATCACTGACATTTCTGAGACAAGAACTAGTTGACAATTCCACGCGTGATTCATGAAACAGCACGAGGTACAGCTCATTTTCCACAAAGGAGTAGGCTCTACGTTGCTGCTAGCACTAAAGATTTGCTGTTTGTCAGTGAGCTAAACAAATGTGACCGGGAAGAGATCAGGTAAGCGTGGGAGAAGATATATGCAGTAACTTGATGTCATTTTTCTGAGTTGATCCTCCGTATAATCCTACTTACATTTATTCTCAGGCTATTCGGGAAGATTAATTTTTCCCACAGTAGAATTATTTTCTAGTAATACGTCTTTCTCTCACTGTGAAATAGCTTTACTGAGAAATAAACAAGTGAGCATGTGTTTGGGGATAGTTCCTATTACAGAAGTGAATTTAGAACTAATTGCTAGAGCTGGCCAAATTCATTAGGAGGATTGTATTTCCTGATGAATTTAACTATTTATTCAGTTCCAGAATGGGTAGAAACAGATATTAGATTTTAATAATTGTAGTGGGCTTAAAATGGCTTTTTAGTCTTTGTCCAATCAGCTGAATTCACACAATAAAAACAGCTTTTGGAGTTGTTTGTAGAAATAGTGACGCAGGAATCAGATGTTCAACAGTGAAAAGTAACAAATGACAATAGGGAATGATTCAGACAGCTATTTTGCCATTTCAAGAAATGTTTGAAACTCTAATTCCCCCTCATTCCCTACTCTTCCCTATCAGCTAGTTTATTTACCACCAGAGCTCTATTTTCAACAAGTGCTGATGCAGGTAGAACATCAGCATCCCTTTCTCTTACCTTCTTCAGCGTGTAGCTTATGGAGATTTCCCATCTCTTTTCTTGTTTTCCCCTCCAGAAATCAGAGTGAGATTCCCTCTGCAGCTAAAACACTGCCAGGTATTCCTGTTTCTGGATTTCTAATTCTAGAAGATAGATTTTCTTCTAGAAAAGCTTCCTCTAGAACTGGTTTTTCCTGCTTTTTTAGCAACAAGAACCCAGTTGTGCACAGCAGTAGATGGCAACATCACCTCTACTGCCAGAACAGCTACTTCAGTTGCTAGCTCTCTTCTAAGGCAGGCAGGCTGGAATTAGGCATCTCTTTTCTTTCCCCCCCATCACCATATTTGGCTACAATGTGACACCCACTAAAACTACATTGAGGATAGGGACAACCTGGGGCAAGACGGTGATGCCAGCTCTGCGATACAGGTTGTTATGAAGGTAGAATTAAAATTGTAGAGAGGATGGAAGTTCTTTTCCCAGGAGCATTTAAGAAATCTCAGAATGTTCCTTCACCCTGAACTATAACAATATCTTCTTATGATATTCCATTATACACTATATCTTTGGAACAGTGGTGATTTCAAAATGAAAATGCAGAACCTTTTAGTCAGAAACTATTTAAACACCACATGGTAACTTTTTCCTGTTTTCTTTCAAAATTAAGGAAAACTGGTATGTTTTTGAGAAAAACTTTTTATTTCAGTTGGTTTTAGAGGATGTTCCAAGACAACAGGAGAGAAAAGATGTTTAAAGAAAAAAACCAAGATGGAAAATGGAAGCATTCTCAAGAAGAGAGATTAAGTTTTTTTTACTTTTCCTTTCATTACTTTTTAATTTTGTTTTTCTGATACCTCATCAGACATTCATCAGTGTCAACTTTGTACACAGCTGTGATCCTGAAGTTCTTTTACATAAGTGCTTTAGTGCAACAAAAAAGAAGGTAGACCACAAAACTAAAGCAGAATTCCTTTTTCTTGTGCAATTTCAGTGCTCAGCTGCAATTTTTAGCTTTACTCTGCCTAGGGATTGAAATGGTACAGACATGGACACACATAGGAAATTTCTGTATTTCATTTTGGATTAAATTTTGACTTTTAACTTTAACATGTTTCTTCTAGAAATTAATCTTTGTCAGCACAATGCAGTATAAGGAGTATTTGGATTATTCAATTTACACCAATAAAATGACTTCTTATCAAAGCCATTTCATTCAATTAGCAAAGAAACCCAAAAGCAACAGGAGGGAAGCCTGGTTAGCAGCACACATCAGGAATTTCCTTGGCATTCGATTCATTTTCTAGCAAGCTAACCACAACCCTGGAATTTCCGCTTGCTCCTGCCTTCTTGAATGCTTTCATATTTCTCCTGGACATCTCTCGTCATGTTTTAGGTTTAAGAGCTACATAAATCGATCTTCAACATAGTGCAGCTCTTCCATGAAAGGTCACAGAAGGAGTTTGTTTTATTAATCACATCATTCTAGGAGGTGAGAATTGGAAGAAGATAAATTGGATAGCTAGGATGATGTGGCAAAGAATGGAATAAACTCTGTTTGAGATGCAAAGAGATGAGATGGTGGTAAGAAAAAGCATAAAGGATGTTTATGTAGGAGAAAAGGATCAGTCTCACATCCACAACCAACACAAGCAAGCAAATAATCTTAATGAAAAACAGTCAGCAGTCCTTTCCATGGTGGAGTACTTCTAAACTTAGAGCTGCTAGTAGGTCTACCAGACTTTGCCTGAAACTCCAGCTCAGATAGCAAATTCTAATTCTAAATTGGAAGTGGGTATTTTGACGTTTCCGGCTCAGACATCCTATTTGGATTTGAGTAAGTAGAAATAGCTTTTAGTTTATTAATGAAAAAGTGTGCAATAGTATTTACAAAATTCAAGTTGATAAGAAAAGTTCCAGAACCAACCTTGCCTGAAACGTAGCTTAAAATACACGGGATTGCCAAATGTGAATTTGAAATTCTTCTGATACTTTAAGAGCAATACAGTTTAGAGTCCCTTAAAGCCATATCCTGCCCCTGAAGTAAGAAATGTGTTCTGGATAATCCTTGCAGTCTCATGACTTCAAACTATTAGAATGGAAACTGGGGACAGCCATCAAAGAAAGCCTTGAACTGTTATTTTGAAGCTAATGCAGATTGACCTGGGACTGGCGAAAAATAAGCAGAGTTCAAAGGAGCCTGCATCATCATAATTTCTGGTGTAGTTAAAGGTCTAATGCAGAACAGCAACAACTTGAAACACCATTATATTTTAAATTATTTTTTATGTCCTTTTATATGCCATAAATAAAGCACCTTTTTCTTTTTTTTTTTTTTTCTCTTTTACTGTCTTTTTCTGTATTTATAATGTAGGCATTGCCAGCACTTTAAATGTAAGTATACATTACTAGGAAGTACATGCAGACAAATGAGAAGGCAGTTTTATGAAAGACATCAATAATATAAGGAGACTGAACCAAATAACTTACAGGGAAGGGTAAACTACCAACTTATGCAATTTTGACTAAATACTGACCCAGAAGGCTGTGATAATTGTCTCTAAATATGTGGAGGCTGTAAACATCATGAAGAAAAGGATGAACTAAGAAAAAATACCTTTAAAGACTGAAGAACAGGAAAAGCATCTTGGGCATGAGCATGATTAAGGTATGAAATAATCACAGGGAAGTAGGGAGATTTTAACATTGGATAAAGCACTGTAGAGACTGTTACAGGGAACAGTTCTGTAATGGCAGGATATACACTAGATGAGTTAGGGTTTTCCTCACTCTCATTTCTATTATTTCACTATATTAATGTCAATAGCAGTGCAACAGCAAATTCCACAGAACATTACCCAAGTGTAATTTTGTAACCTGTTTTGTTTTTTTTTAACAAAGAAAATAGTAAATTTATCTGCTTTATCTCCTAACCTGTGACACTTTTTCAATAGGATATTATTCGTACTTGAAAATTCTAGTAGTTTGGTAGTTTTGGTAAACAAACTCATTGACTTCACTTCGAATATGCTTATCATGACATGGAAAAGAAGCAAAACCAATTAAAGACTATTTTCAATCAGAAACTGTAAATATATCAAAACCATTGCTTTGAAAAGACACTGCTGGTATTGGCAAGAATAGTACGCACCTCAGAAGGAAATACTGCCTAACGCAAGTATTTTAGAAATCAAAGACGAGGAAATACACGGGAAAGGTACCTTCTTAATGGTTTCCAACATGGATCGTCCTCCTTGCCAGGGTTTAGAGTTCTTCCTGATGCAGGTGAGACTGGCCATGCTGTGCCACTTCCTGTCCTCCAGCTTCTTATGAAAGGCATTTGCCAACAGGAGGACAGTGTCGTATATATACAGGTTTGAAATCTGCAAAGATATTTAAAAGAGAGTATTAGCATTATTATTTGTGGTCTCCTGCCAGCTGCCAGAATTTATCATTTGTTTTGCCTCACCCATAATCCTCTGGTAATTAAACGGCTTATTTGGCATTAAGAAGAAACTGTAAGAGTCAGAAAGTCATATCTTTGGCTCTGGCAGAAACTACAGCTAGGGGCTGTCAGACTACAAGTTATTTGCAGTAACAAACTACACATTTGCAGCAACAAACTATACTACTACACTACAAAGCACTACTACCTGTGAAGTACAGGCAGCCCAATCACTGGCACAGCTCCACTTGCAGGATTTAAAGCCCTACTCATGAACGTAAAAGAGTTTCTTTTACTTTTAACCAGTTGCCTGCAACTTTCAATTTTTCAGTCACCAGATATTTGGACACCATCAAATTGTCTTCAAGATTTTTTTGTTCTTTTGAAAAACAGAAACTCTGAAAATTTAAAATAAATCATCTCAGGGTGGTTTTTGTTCCTGATTTTTGCAGTCAATTCTGATTGAGGCAATTTCTGGAATGAAATATGACCTGATGAAATCTTTCTCTGTGTGCAGTTGCATGTCGATTCTGCAATTTGTAGTGTTTCCTGTCAGGGGTTTTGGCAATGGCTGTTAATTCCTTGCAGGAAGAAACTCTTACTGAGTAAATGAAACTCTTACTGAGTAAATGTGTCCATGTTTCACTGTGAGCATAGTTACACACATACAGTGCAAGGAAGTTCCTGTTTGGCATCAAAGAGAGAACAGTTGAACTCAAGAAAAGAAATTACTTGTGTGCCAGTTCCACTTACCCATGTACTATTTCTATATATGCACTTTTAAATACACACAGTACAAAGTGAGATGTGAAAGATACAATTCAACGTAAAAGAACAGAAGCTCAGAATTCATGAACACTTCTGAAACAAGTAATTCACAATATAGCTTTATGTCAGTCATTTCTGTCCTCAAATGGCAGGAACATTTAAGTTACTAACAGTATCATAAAGAGAAACCTCAGCTCTCCTGAACAGAGGTTCTCGGGAAGAGAAATAAAGTTTAGAAATGAGAAGGACCTTTGGGAATATTATTTATAGATAACCTATTGGTCATTTGAAGTCATGGGACTTGAAGTTATTGAGGGAAACTCTGTTTCCTCAGCTGCACTATGAAGGGGGTTGTAGAGCATTCCCAGTGCCTGAAAACAAATTAGTCAGCAGCAATTTGCTAACTGAGGCAAGGTTGCTGGTTTTTTTTCTCCATCAGTCACTGACAAGCCAAAAGACTTTTCCCAGATTTGTGGAATACGATGACTGCTTTGTGTAAGGGTTTCTCCATAGAGATGGTCTAGTCAAAACCTTGAAAGAAGAAGGAAGCTTACAATAGGAAAGTATGCCAATTTTGTGGAGAATGCCCCTATTCTACCTCTTAAAAATATCCAAACCCTGGGAAAGTCCTAGAGTTATTGGGAGGGGGTGTATGCTAAGGAAGGAAAATAATGTTGAAGATCTGAGACACTGATTGGCAAATCCACACATCACCTTAAAAAAAAGGAAAAAAAAAAAGAAAAGAGAAAAAAAAATAGCCTCTCTTCCTGCCTAATTACTCCTTTCCATATAAACTATTTTTTATGTTTTTGTTTTCTTACATAAATTCCATCTTTATGCTGGCTTTGCCTGTATCATCTGCAATCTGCTCTGTACAGTTCTCACAGGAAGGTTTTGTGACAGACTCCTTCCCTGCCTAGCATCCAGGAAAGAGGTCGTCTTTCTCCTTACCTTGCCAGAATTTCCTGGGGCATTTTGCCTTCCACATTTTATTGAAGGAGATCTAATGGTCTGCTGCTTTCCATCCTGATAAACTCCTGGGATCCTCTATTGCCTTTACAACTCTACATTGTTAGTACCACAAACACACAGAACTTCTGATACTTATTTCCCTTTTTCTTTAAATGACAATGATCCTTCACTCCTCCTTTCTGGAAGATGCTTCTTTATTCTTACTCGGGCTTCTCCCATGACTCCAGTGGCTGTGAATATTTCCATTTCAATATTCACCCAGGAATTAATTTACTTTCCGCAGATGCACAGGCCAGGCATCACTGTGCATAACAGGATTAAAAGCATGGATTGACGATGTGGGTTCAGATTAATCAAGCATTTTTAAAATAACTTGGATGATTTGTCTGTGTATTGTAAACCTACAAATAATTCAAAGCATTTCAGCTAAACCGTATTTCCCCAAAGAAGTCAGCACCATAGGGACATTTGTTTCAGGGGGAGAAAAGGGATTATTTCTATGCTGTGAGGCAAGTTTATTTTACATAAGCTTTCACTAAAGGAAAAAAAACCAATCCTCTAGATAGCAGAGACAATAAGGTCACTAACGAGATTAAATTGGTACATGAAGGGCTACAGATGCCAAGTCATCATTTCCCAACACAATGACATTGCTTTCAAGGTAGCTTCCATAACCCAATATCATGGGAATAGAAGACTATTGTCACAGTTCATGAGGAAGGATGCATTCACTAATCTAAGAGTAATATAGCTGGGCCTTCATCAAGTACTAACAGGGCCCAGGAGTACAGAGTTCAGCAATTATTAAGCATTGTTATTCCTTCACTAATAGTTTAGCTTAACATTTACAGTGATCAATCACTGATAATGCAATGATAAAGACACTACGATTAATTTCTGCTTCTCAAAATAACCCTTCCCTGTCACTACCAGAAGTACGCTTCATTAGTAACTGTCCCCATGCACAGAGTGGGCCTGTAAATTAAAGTCACTTTACACTTTTATTAATTTCCCACATAAATTTACTGGGACATTCAATGCACTGTCTGATATCTCTACTGATCCTTTATTTATTCGAAGTCTCTTAGACTAATGGCTGGACACTTGCCTTACCAAGCAGTATCTAACTGCATAACATCCTGTTGATGCAATTCAAAATTCAGATGTGATTTTTTGTTCCAGAGTGCAGAAGAAAGGTATTTAGCAATCAGATTAAGTAGGAGTGATTAATCTGGATTAACGGTGTTTATTTTATGCATACCTAGACTATTGTACATAGTTTTTAGACAAAAGGGTTATGGTACTAAATACTTCTGTGAATCCAGTTTTTAATTTCCTTCCTTCAAAATGATATAAATTTATAGAAGTTTTTTTGACTTGGACAATCCCAGAGACACAATGAGAGATCTTCACCAAAATATTTTTCAGTGTTTTAATTAAGATGTTGAAAAAAATTAATTATTCACACAGATTTTAGGGGGAGTAATTCAGAAAAAATAAATCAAGAAATCCACCCTTACAATTTCCAGAGAATATTTCTGATTAGTCACACTTCGATGGCATAAAAAAAGCATTAGAAATTTCAATTTATAAACTGCTCCAACTCTCCACTGGAATAAAAGTTAATTTATAATATTGTTGGGGAGAACAAAGAAACAGCGAACAAACCCCACAGCTACTCGAAGGTCTGTGCATCATATGAAGACACAGGGGAAACTGTGTCAGAGGTTTTCTTCCTTTCATTTTTTAGTATCGTCTCACTCAGTTACTAATGAAGTGCAGCATGAAAAAAGTAACTCAACCGTGCAGAACAGTTAAACCAGTCAAGCTTCCATCATTCCTTTGAACTGAAACATTATGAAAGCTTTCAATAGGAATATTACAGTTCTCCAAGCTACAGGTTAATCAAGAAGGACAGGTTAAGGTGTAAGGTCCAATCTAACACATTAAATGGAATTTGCCAATTTGCAGAGAATAAACTTTGATTTCTAGAACTTTCCTTTCCTAGAGTCAGTTCACTGTTGAAGTGAAAATGAAATGGAAGTGAAGTTGAAGAGAAAACAAATCAAAACATGAAGCCTCCCATCGATACGTGATTCTTGTTTTATGCCTTGCTCTTGTTAGTAACTTTGTTCATGAAAACTGCTCTTTGCAATCTCTAACGGCTGCATATAATCACACCCTCAGTTTTTATGCATTATCCATAGACTACCAAAGTTACCCCTACGATCTTGCTGCCATAACAGAACAGTGCAACCTAAAGATTTTTCACAGTTCCTAAATAGCGTCTAGAGATATCCTATGCATCTATTGACCTTACACAGCCCTGTTTATTTTAAGAACTCTAACAGGATCATTGTGCAGTGTGCTATGGCCAAAATTTTTCATGTCATCAATAGTTGCTTACTGGCTGCTCTTTGAACAATTAGTGAGGCAAAGGCTCTTACAGCTGACTTGAAACAGGGCAAGACCAACCACACTTTTCCTTCTTTTCCCCTTACATATTTTCATTTTAAGCAAGGACACTCTTCAACACCTCCCTATGTCTCTCCCAGTGCTTTCTCTCACTCCTTTCTTTCAGCATCACAAGATGACTGCTCTCTTTGCTGCCAAGTCAGATACAGTCCTCCTGCACCACCGCCAGTGCAGTCATCTTTCCACAACTTCACAAATGACCACGCAAAAAAACTAAAGTAAAATTGACATCTTAAGCCAATTTCATACTCCTGATTTACCATAGCTTTGTCATGAGTAAGCCTAACCAGATATAAGAGAGAGAGAGAGGACTTGCTCTTGGAAAAACTATGTGAAGTCAGCAGGACAGTGACTGTGATCCTGTTGCTGATTTCATGTGGTAGGAAGGCTCTTATAGTTTAATTGCGATATGTAATTAACAGCCCTGAAAATAAGGCCTCTTTGGAACATAGGCGTAGATTTAGGTGCATACACCAAGACACTTGAAACAGATGATGCGGGTGCTCCCCACAAAAGCTTTCCTGTTGACCACACATTTGAGGCTTAGAGAAGCACGGCAGCTCAGGAGACATTGGCTATGGGGAGAAAATTCTTCTTGGTGAGATGACAAAAAAAAAAATTTAGCAGGGCAACAAAACAACTACCCCACTGCCTGGAGATCAGGTGGCTTTTTTGGACTTTTTTCTCAATTGCTGTGGAGCCGGTGAGTTGTTCTCGTCCACCAGTCACACTCACCCCCCTCCAAAGTATTTTCTTGTCATGCCATAAGCCATTAAACTACATGTCAGAGAGGACATGAAAAATAAACATTAAATTACACTAAGCCCCTGGGGAAAAACCTTGAACTTATCTAGAAAGACAGTTCCCAGGTGGGAATAGACTGGTATATGAACTACCTCCATGCTTTGGGAGAAAGGGTCCTTTGGATCACACAGTGATGAAGATATTCTGTGGTTGCCACGGAAACAGCGCTGACTTATGTTTTGGGGGACTGGAAATGTCTGTCGAATAATTGTTAACCTTCCGATTGATCTTCTCACCAGCTCCTGCACATCCACATCGTTTATTTCCTGGAAGATAAGGCAAGGGAGAGAATATGCATAAAAGTTAAAATACAGAAATGTTACCACCAGACTATAAACAAAAAATAAACTGAGAGGACCAAGAGGTGTGTGATTGCTACACGGCTATTGTCGAGCTCTGCCATAACCTCAAAACGAACATACGCATGCTCATTAAAACAACTGACAAACCACCCTTACAGTAACTGCAGAAGTTTAAAAGGTACTGTGCCCAAACCTCACCAAAACTTTGTAGATGGGCTTAGTTGTTTCATTTTGGGTTTTCTCTCCCTCTCCTTTTATCTTGATCTTTTACTTAAAAGTGTTTCACAGCATCCTTGGCAGATAATGTGTAAATCAGTAGGAAGTCATAGCATGATGTATTTCTATGTTACTTAGGAGCTGTGAAGGTACAAACAATTATTCAGGCCTTAAGTGTTCATTTCCTGGAAACAGAATATCAAGAACCTATAAACAATGTGCAAGTTAGCAAACATCATTTACCAAAAGGGCAAAGAAAATGCATTAGAGCATTCTAGGTGTGTATGCACTTGTTTATAGCAAGACCTAATTTAAATTTGACTTTTTACTCCATAGGGTACCTATTAAGGCTTAGAGCTGAACATTCAGCTCTACAGACAGACACTTTAAAGGAAAAAATAACTAAGTAAATACATCAATATGTGAAATATTAAGCTTAAAATATTAACTTTAAGGCAGGTTAGGGAAACCAGAAATGCAGTTCTTTACATGAATTCCTGCAGTTTGGCAACACAGTGTTTCACACCATTGAACGATGAGGCCCTTGGGGAACACGGAGCGAGAGGAGTGTGGGCTCACAAGCAACAGCAACTGACTCCAAACTTCACATAAGAACCTGAACTTTAGTTAAACATGGGTTTTTTCTGGTGACTCAAATAGGGTCAAGCTGGTAGCTTTCAAGGCAATCCTGTGTCTGTATTTTTTTGTAAAGCAGAAGAAATAATCTACAAAATTGCTCAATCTTTTTAACCAGAATCTATTTTTCATCATACTGAACTGTTTGTCCATAATCTATCTTAATTACAGAGGCTGATGCCCCAAACTTTCTAGACGTTTAAATTTGTGGATACCTCCCCCAGTAAGGGAGGTGCTTGAGGAGCTCCTATTAGCAGCCTGAATTTAACTTACCCTTGCATACAGTCACAGTTTATTGAATATTTCTGATTCTTATTTGTATATTTATAGTTTTTCATTTTTTTGAAGGATACAGCACATCTGCACTGCTATACCTGTAAGTAAATGCCATAATCTTTTCTTGCCTCTAGCTTCCTGATCTATTCCCATAATCAAGAACTTAGGAGACACCAGGAGGTAGATATGAAATCAAATTACAGAATCTTTCTTGTGAAAAGGAAGCCAAGCTTTTTGAAAAAGCATCTCTTTAAATGTTAAGACAACTATCCTGGTAACTTTGGCTTTTGGTTTTTTTTTTTTTTTTTGGAGCTTCAGTTAACATTCTTTAACTTAATTATTTTGAAACAACTTCTTTGGACATTCTGGCATTTTCTTATTTCCTTTAAAGCTTGGAAGAAAAATATATGAGATGTAAATTTTAACTTCTACTCTCTTGACTACAGTAAAAGTATTTTATTCTTCTTCACAGATTGTCACAATTTTTGAATTCATCTGTTATTAATGTTCTTTATGAAATATAGATTTTTCTGCAAACAAAAATAACACACGGCATCAGCTGTGTCCAGTGTAATATCTTGCATTTCTGGTCGATTAATCCTTAATGTACCATAGATAATGATTTCTCTCAGCTTAAGATGCCGTCTTTTCATTTAGTCTGTATCATTTCACTAGCTGCAAGGTAAAAAAAAAAAAAAAAAAAGCTGTTTTAGCAAAATGCATGTAATTTTTTCTATAATACTTTCAATGTAATCGGAAAGGAGAGCTCAAGAAACTTCTTATCTTGATTTTAAACTATATCCTTTCTCAGAGGATTTTAAAAAAGTTTGCCTAGTTTCATTATACACCATGCCCAAACTGTAACAGCAAGACTATTAGATAACTTCTAATAATGTAAAAACTGATACCTGCATGACCACATTATATTGCTAAACAATACTTAAAAAGAGATTTTGACTTTCAGCTGCTCAAACATTTCTCTCTTCTGCCTCAAGAGTGTATTTATTTTTTCTGTATTCAGCATTTTTTGGTGCATTTTAATTAGAGTGTTGTCATTTTAACCTTTAGGTTACTACCTCGTATTTTTATACATCACCTGGGAACTAATAACAGAATCCAAACACCAGGGAGATTTTTATATTGTTGCCAAGGAGGTGCATACACCAATAGATTAATGACAGCTATTATTTTAAATGCTGTGAATTCCACCAATTATATCATAAATTCAGATTTTAGGTTAACAACAGAGCAATGCCGTGCAAACTCAAATTCAGCTTTAGTCATTTGTTATATATTTCTTTGTCATTTTTTTAATACTTGGCATTGACTGAGCGATGAGCCTTTTATATAATGACTCTCCAATATCATGTCTCATTCTTGAATTTTGGATCTGACTTGAGAAAACTATATAAAGTAACTATTGTATGAGAGGAAACAATTTTCATTTGCACTTCAAAGGAGGATACAGTATAATGATATAAGGATGGTAGATGATCTGTCATACAAGCACCAAATGTCAAAAAAGTTTACAAAGTTGGCCAAGTTGAACTGAGTTGGCACCTGTATAAATTTAAGCTAGGTTATGTGGCTTTTTTCTGGAAAAAACAGAAGTTCAATATATAGTTCCAAACCCTTCTTTTGTTGGTCTGAACTTGGAATAAAGGGGAGGCTGTCCAATTTCAAATGGAACAAGGATAAAATTAGATGCACATTTCATCTGCGTAGGCAAATAAATAAGGAAAGAAATGCTATTTTAAATTAATAGCTTTTTACATATGAATTAGAAAAAGGGAACTGAAGAGGATTGCCTTGACATATCAGGCAGAGACTCCAGTTGGAATCAAGACTATATACTGGACACCTAATATACACTGCCGTTCAGCTTCATCTCATTATTTTAAGATAAGCAACCTAGGCAGAGACTTACTATTCACCACAGAGCAACTGCATCAGTAGTGCAGTTGGTGCAGAGGGAAAGAATTTATTCACGTGCTCCTGTAATAAGCACCAAACAAAGGCAGCAATATCTTTTCTTACGGAAACATCTCAACTTTGGGCCAAGGAGATGATTCCAGTATTTATCGTATATGGGACACGCCTTATTTTCCAGTGCATGCCATGTCTTCATCACATCCTTCATGACACTCAGAGAGGAGAGTGTTTCTTCCTCCTCCGAAGGCCAGCAGCAGTGAGCAGGGGGCAGAGCCAGAAAGGGTGGCTGCTACACACCCTTCTTGAGGTCTCTGGGCTGCCACTGCCTATGCCATAGCATACTTGTGCTATGCCCTTCCTGAATTTCTCAGCACTTTCCAAAGAGGAGTAGTTGAGCGAAAGGCATAACTAGATGAAGCTCCAAGACAAGTAAAGGGAGATCTTGAACTGCATAATCTTTTGCTCCGTTATATCTCCCTTAATGTTTCTTAGGTTCTGGGGAGGATGATGAAAAAGAGGAAACTGATAGGACAAGGAGAAATCAACTTTCAGCTTTTAGAGAAGAAGATCCAAGAGCTTGGAGAAGGCAGGGCTAAGTCAGTCTGTCCACTGGCTCCCACCTGTCTGAAAAAAGAGCTGGCAGCTTAGTCGCCAACCTGTACCATTTCACACCCGACCTGCCATCACCATTGGAAAATGTAAGGGTTCAAATGAACTCAATGCTACTATTAATCAATTATCCATATTAAAATGTAGAATTACGTGAGCTCCTGGAACTAAGCTGTGATTTTAGGACCTGATCCAGCTGCTCGAGCTTAAAACATAGTCATGCCCTACGGTTTTCTTCATGGTAGCGTGCATTGGGCTGAAACAACGGAACAAGCTGAATGCACCAGCTGAGGACCAGCCCTCTCCCAGGAAAAGCATGTGTTCTTCCGAAAGTAGGCTTCGAATACAACCTTGTGGATCCTCCGGTCCTCTCTTGTGCTATGATGGGCAAACCTGTTGGATCTTTTTCCATAAGCTGTTCTTTAAGAAAGATTGGGTTTTTTCTCCTTTTCTCCTCAAAGAAGGAGTTTTTCCAGACTCTGATGCCTCTGGTAATTAGAAACCTTCTACTAACTTTTGCCCTCAATTTATTCATGGGCAATTTGAACTCATTTGTTCTTGTGCCAGCTTTGTCCTCTAGCCCTTGACAACGATGCATTTATTCACACTCTGTATGTGTTTACAAACAGTGAGCGTATCCTCTTTCAGTCTCTCTTTTCACAGGCCAATCAAGCCAATGTTTTCAGTCTCTTCTCACACAAATCAGCTTTTCTGTGCACCTGTTCAATTTTAATTTTAATAGAACTGGTCATAATTGTGCACATTATTGCAAATGAAATCCAACCAATCCTTTGTACAGTAGCATCAATATTTTCACCTCCTGTATGGTAGCTGTAGGCAGTGGAAAGTGTTTTGGGCTGACTGTGAGTAAACAACAGTAATAGAGAACTATGTCTTGGCATAGTAAGATGACCCTGAATGTTTTAACAAAGGAAAATGCTTGAGAGATACATGGATACATTCAGTTCCACTAAATAAAATCCAAGCTTACTGTACACTTGTGATTTAAGAGTCATAAGTAAATATAATTTTACTATCCTGGGCTTTTTGAGGTTATATTTACTATTGTGCAGAGGAAAAGCAGCAAGCAGAGACAGACTGACAGGGGGAGAGAGAGAGTGAGAAATCCATTCTCACATTTTGTTAAGGCATATTTTATCATGTCTACATTCAAATCTATGACTCCTGCAAATTTTAAATAAAGAATTGCACCATCTGCTTTAAGGCCCTGAAGAAATAGGAACATTTATTTGGAGAGTGTTTCCTTAGCTGACTGCACTGATCAGAAGAGATTTGTAATATTTGCAAAGGACTAATACGATGTATTATGCTTTAGCAAATGATGAATCCTTTCATTTTATGGGAACAACCCCCCTCCTCCCACACATGCATTTCCATTATGATACACAGTCTTCAAACAATTACATAAAATAGCAGCTAACGGGACAATAAAAATTAAGGAACTCTTTCCAGGCATTATAGCATTTAAAGCAAGCAATTAAAATAACAGATGTTACCTCACAAAGCCTAAGCAGATTCCTGATCACAAAACTGAAGGTGGTATTTCCTTTCGTATTACTATACTCGGTAAATGTGTTGCATGCCCTTGGCACAGTGATGGAAAATGAAGGACAATTCCAGCTTATTTTGATATCTCATTGCAAGGAATTGTTTGAATAATATTTGGATTTTGCAAAACAATGCATTTTCACTGTAATAGATGATCTTACATTTTCAGATTAGGAGGCCAGAGAAGCAATGTTACAGTTATCTAGTTGACAGTCTGATTTAGCCAATACAGGCACACAAACACAGATGTCTAAGTTGTCTAAGATGTCACAAAAGATTCATGTAAGCAACAAAATGGGCAGAGCTCTGAGATGATTTCACAGTCTGTATGGTGGTCATCAACAGCTAATGGACAACCATATCAAATGGACTTGGATGTGAAGACAGATATTTTATATACCACACAGTAAGGGGCCTGTAAATCATCGCACTTCCAAATCTTGCACTGCCAAATTGGAGGCATTGCGATCTTATTAGTGAACTGGTAAAATGTTGCAATAAGCAAGTAATGTTATGCAACATTCATCATTCAGGAAATATTTACATTTCTGTTGTAATTTGAACATAGTGATAAGGAAAAATAGAGCAAAACATGATTCCATATAATTATCTACAAATCTTATTTTTTGCTAATCTGATTTTTGTGTCCGCAAAATATTGGTATTACTAGCATTTTGAAACAAACAGAGTTTGCAAGTAAGTTACTTAAGTGGGAATATGGATTTAGATCCAGAAGCGGTTTAAACTGAGACGGCAT